AGCTGTAGAGGGCAGTGTCACTGGCCCTCATATGTGGGATCCAAACCGGGGCCCTCTGGCGTCTCAAGCCAGCTCTTAACCAATGCGCCACTCGGCCGGCCCTGGAGATATCATTTTGACTAGTCTCTGTTGCTTGATCTTGGCTCCTTGTGGGGCTAAGAGAGAGACATGAGCACAGCAGCAACGCCGGAGAGAACCTGGTGACACAGCACTCAAGAACCCCTTCTGCAACACGCACAGCCACCATCTACACAAAATCAGCCACAAATCACGTGATCTCATTGTCAGCCTTATTAACCTTTGGTTAAAAAATAAGACTATAAACGATATTTAAAGGCACAGACAGCAGCACCGTATCTATTTTTAAAATACATCTAGCCCCTACTCCAGAGTGCTACGTAACTTAAGAGATCTCTACTAGCCCATGCCAAACAACTGATTAATAAGAACCGAAGGACCAGAGATAAAATTGAGAACATTTGTGAAGATACTCAGTCAAGAACTCAGCCAGTGAAAAGGAATCCCAGACTGACACTCCATCTGGATTTTACAGAGGAAAATGTCTTTTTGTGTCTTCAGAAGTAAGTAGAAGCAAAGACTGAGATTACGCTTCCCTTCCGGTCGTTGACAGTAACCCCAACCTGCAAATCTAGCTGTGACCCACCTTGCACGATGAGGTGGACCCTCGAGGTCTTGGGGTGGTTGTCGGTCTGCACAGAGCAGGTGTAGGGGCCCTCGTCATACACATCCACGTTCTGAATCATGATGCTATACTGGGTTGGGCTGTTGACCAGGATGATTACACGAGGGTCTATGGACCACTTGTCGTTCCCAGCGTAGAGGATGGTGCTGCGGTTTAGCCAGGCTACCCGCGTGACTCGGTCATCTATGGTACACCTGTGGGATGTGGTGGGGAAGGAAGGAACGGGGAGTGGGGAGGACAGGGAAGGAGAAGGGGAGGATTGAGGAAGGGAAAAAGGTAAGAAGAAGAGGAGGGATGGGAGGGAGAGAGTGTTGAGAGATTATATGATAAATATAGTGGCTATATTTCAAGGAATAAATGACACACCCTAACCCAGTGCTAAAAGAAAACAATTAATTATTGATGATACTTCCAAAATATTCGGTAACAGTGGCCTGAATCATCGTGAAGAACCGATGATACAAAATCATTTTTATTTGATTTAGGAACGTATTATGAGAATATCTTTGTGTGTATTTGCTTTCCATTTTATTGTTCCCCTAGGCTTCTATGAAAATTAGTTTATGTTTCTTGAGCACATTTAGTACCTTGTGGGGGAAGTGGCCCAGGGGCGTAGGGGAGAGAATGTGGATCAGTATTTCAAATAGGTCACAGATAATCCATAAAGCAAATATATAACCTGTTGTTAGTAAAACATGGAACACATTTACCTGCAAACCTCCCGGATATTGATAACCTCCTTGTACCCCTGAGCTGCCCAGTACCTGCAAACTACAATTTATAACATGGATTGGTAAAATTCACCTTAGAAAGCCAACGATTATGGAGGAAGCCATGGTTACCTCTTAAGATTTCAGATGGGGGAAGAAGAAAGTGGTCAGGTAGATTTCCCCTGCTCTCATACACTCCTCTCCCTACCCTCTGAGAGAAAACAAGACCAGTGTCGCCTAGGTTATCATCTAGATGAAGAGCTGACCTCTACTGTACCTCTCACCTACTCTTCTCAACAACCGGAGGCAAATGGAATTTGCTTTTGGTGTGTATGACCGGCAAGCTACCAGGTTTAATGTAGAAATAAATATGCCTGTTGGTCAGGAAGAAAAGTTGCCTATGTGCCCCCAGAAACACAGAACTTGTAAACAGAAAATTAAGAAAAGGGACTCCTTTACAAATATAGGTTTGCAATGAAGGGCATGGTTAAAGGGTTATAGTTGTGCCCACCTACTGCCCAATGCTCTAGTAAACTACAGCCCTGCTGCTTTCCTCAGATGTCCTAGCAGAGAAGGTAGAGGTGTGCCTCCTGGGGACAAGAAATGTGAACCCAGTGCCTCCAGGTGAGGAGACAGTGAAAAAAATACTGCCATCCCTCACCATATCTGATCCCATTTCGACCGACAGCAGAGATCCTTCTGACAGGGCTCAGGAGATGGGCAGAATGCCAAAGACACTGGCAGTGGAGGAGAGAGCACACACATTTGGGACATGCTGTTTTCCCTTTGGCAAAGTGACCAGCCTGACACACCCAGAAGGGTCAGGGGGACAGAATGATACTGGAACACCAAGAGGACACCTTTAGTTGAAAGGGGAAAGCGCACAGTCTAGTGAGGTACTCTCTCTTGTTGGTAGGAGGAATAAAAATAATACTAACTTCTAATTACTGAGGTTTTCTCATGTACAGCACCTATTATTCAGCAGGTACCTGCAGCCATGAGGTAGAGGTGGGGTGGTAACTAGGCACATTCAAATTATAGCAGGAAGAGATTCTTCTCTTTTAAATTGTCTCTATTTGCTTTTTTTCAAACTACAAAAGTAAAATAAACATGTGAAGAAATATAATACAAAGATGCATAAAGGCCAAGCTAATCATTGCATCCCCACCCATCTCCTAGTTCCCTGAGGTCATTATTTCAGTAACAGCCTGTTATTATACTTCTCTTCCACACCTTATCTTCACATACATACGAGTATATTCACATGTACAAAGGCTGTGTTGATTTGCTTTTACCTGAAATAGAACCATAGTCTAATATTCCTATGAAGCTTTTCTTTTCATTTAACCATGGGCATTCCTGCCCACCAGTAGTTACAGATCTAATATTTTAATCGTTTCTTGGTAAGTCAAACATCAGTGACATGAGTTTGGGGGGCGCAGGTGCACTCACCATAAGACACTGATAATTCAGGTATCATTGAATGACTCCCACCTTAAAAGGTGTGTCACTGATATAAAGAAAAATTGAATTCATGCTGTTTTCTTCATATCCTGGGACCCTAACTTCACTTTCCAGAATGTTTTTCCTTCTTTAGAAATTTCCATTTCACTTATAAAGACTAATTCCCCAATGGACCTTCCCAGCTTTTAACTTTCAAAAATATTTCTTATGAAAAAAATATGATAAACTCATTCACTCACTCTCAGTTGTAAATGAATAAGAGATAATATGCAAGCTTTTCTAATGATGACTGTATTTTCATAAAGACCAAATCCCTGTTTGAATAACTCTTAACNGCATATACTGCAGGGTGGTAAGGAAAGTGAAAGTTATTCCAAGGGCCTCACTCCTAACCCAAGGAGGCATCATTAGCTGGTAAAACAGTTTTTCAGAGGCAGTGGTAAGGGTGAATTTTAGGGTAGATGAAGGACAAGCACATATTTTAGCAAAGAGTTTCTCCACAGAAATGGGCAAGTCGTGGGGTGGATAGCCAGCTCATATTTGGAATCACCATGTGGCTTTGGGGTGCCTCCCTTTTTTCCACTTTCTTCTTTTGTGACTGTCTTAAAAGGTAGTGCTACAGCATAAGGCAAAGCCATTTCAGAAGCAATGAACCCTTGGGTAAAGAAGAAAAGTGTCTCTTAAAGTAAGAACGATAAAAGTCTCTTTTCCCACTATCCAGCCCCATATCCCTAGCCCCCTCTGGTCCTCGCCAATGGTGCAGAATTCCATGCAGAGTTGTAAAAGTCCATGAGGGCATTTGCTTTCACACCTGCCTACCTGTCCTAGACAGCTGCTTCAGAACCTGCCCTGTGGCTAGTCAGGGGTGCCTTGAAAACCAGAACAATTCACGTTATTTATTTGTCACCCAGCTCTCACTCTGCCACCTCTTCCTCCACATCCTACACAGCTCTAAAATCCAGCCTCCTGATTTGTCCATTATAGTTGGCAAAGAAGTGAGCGAGATGAAATTAGAATGTTTCCCAAGCATACACCATTTTAATTCCATTCAATAGATTATCCTGACATATTTACTCATGCCTATGTCTGTCTCAGTATCATCCATGGAAAAGTATAAATTAAAATTTTAAATTAAAAGCAGAGAGTCTGGGGAGCTTGATATCTTTTTGAAGAATTGAGCAAGTCAGCCACAGGCTCCCAGCAAGAGTATCGTGGGAGCAAAGATTCTGGCAGGGCAGAAATTACAGCCTACGGATTTCCCTGCAAATACCTTCCCACATATAATGTAAGGAATCATGGAATCCNATAGAGTAGCAACGAAAATAATTTTATGGTTGGGGGTCACCACAACATGAGGAACTGTATTAAGGAGTCGCGGCATTAGGAAGGTTGAGAACCACTGAGCTAGACAAACTCCACATGGATGACCAGACCCCAGTTTTATCTGCTGTTAAACCTGGGCCTCATTAGTGAGCATGGAGGGCAAATAGAAAGGAGTAACTGGACAGAAAACATCTCTCAAATGGGGCAGAGCTGGATCATTGAGTCTGTACAGTCCAAAAGCCTGACGAATGATAAAAAAACTTGGTAGAATGAGGATGGTGGTTGAGGACAGTTATTTTCCTCATAATGTTTCTGTGTTTCAGAAGGAAGTGTAGTGTCAATACTTCTTGCTTTCTTCCATCACAATAGGACTCTTTCACTGTCCTCTGACCAGCAGTAAGAAGAGCTTAGGGGAGGACTTAAAAAACATGTTTAAATATTCTTTCAAACCTGGCTCCTTCCTTGCTATTTATGGCTGTGTCTTGGATTCTCACTAACAAGATGCACATGAAGGAGGTTTTTTGATGTTAAATAAGGGAGATCCAAGAAGAAAGTTGAGAAACATTAGCGTCAACTTTCTGATTTCTTGAAAACTTCTTCAGGCGTTTAAAATTTTTACATTCCAAGCTACTGGCCCTTGATAAGAGAAGTCATTACTACTCTATCACAGGTAATATCTACAATTATATACAGTACTTATTCTATACCTGGCACAGCTTAATAACTTCCCATATATTATATCTCTCGATCCTCATATCTCCCCCTTGAGATATGCTCTAGCTAGTAATATCCACATTTTACAGATGAGAAAACTGAAACACAGAAAGCTTCAGGACTCCTAAAGTCCACAGCTGGTACTCTCAGAGTAGGGTATTCAAACTTAAGCAACCTAGCTATAGAGTTTCTGTACTTGAGAGCTGTGGTATGCTCCTTGAAAAGAAAGTACTGTGGCTTGAGAATCCAGGTAACAAGGCGAGCCAAAGTTCGTTGGCCTTATCCAATCAGTTTTCCTCACATGTCTGGTACTAATTTTCTCATAAGAGATAAAATAATTTAGCAGAACAGAAAAGATATTTGAAAGTAATTTTGTACATCCTTAAAAAACAGTGCTAGCTATCTTTGAGAAGAGGTGAAAATAAGAATCAGAAAGAACAAAGAGGTGTCCAAAAGACACTGGAAAAAAGGAACCCTGCAGGAAAAGTGTCATTTCCAATGCCACTGATCATGGAACATGTGGATAAGATGCAGGCTTATTTTGTTTCAGAGGAGGAGGTACAGGTAGGGGAAACCCATGCCTTTAAACAGTGGTTCTCAAACTTTAGTATGCATCAGAATCACCGAGAGAGCTTTTTAAAACACAGATTGTTGGGTCCAACTCCCAGGAGCTTCTGGTCCAGTGGGTTGGAGGTGGTCTGAAAATTTGCATTTCTAACAAATTTTCAGGTGAGGTTGGTGCTGCTGGTCTAGGGTTCCCTATTTGAAAACCACTGCCTTAAAGAAACCAGACAAGAAATAGGTTGGAATTTAATCAAAATAATAAAATCTTCCTGAAAAGTGACATTGGCCAGTTGTAATTGTTTTGTTTGTATTTGTTATCTTTGTCTCTATTTTTATATTTTGCCTCTGCAGATATATAATTAAAAAGTGCTATGATTGACCACAGACATTTAATGAGTGTCTAATGTGTACTAGAGAAC